AACTGGGCTTAATATTGTTTTAAAATCTGATTGACCTGTTCTCATGCAATTGTGTCTTTACTTTCACAAGATCGCGTATTCTGTTTATTTGTTACTAATTCGAGCATTTAGCTCATAGGTACAGTGAGATTGAGTGTTTAATGTTGATGTTAAGATGAAGATCGTGCCTTGTGTAAATCCTCGCCCGGTGTTTATATAGCTCGAGTTTTGCATGGACATTAAGTCCGAGGGTATTTATAGATAGCTCGAGGTCGTTATATGGCTCTTGCTTTTTACTTTATGTGTTGGATTTATGAGCTCGAGGTATCGGTCTTGAAGCCTCCATCGTGTGATTGTAATGCCTGAGGTTCCTGAAACTCTGGGCAATTTTGGTCGGGCACGTTATACACGATCTCGACCTCGACGTTTTAACTTATTCTGTTAATTTGGTATTGTTGAGGTCGAGTACTAGGCCCGACCTGTTTGATGTTGATCAACGTGGTTTGTTCTGTTGTCGCTTATACTATTGTATGGCACAACATGTTTGGCTTTTGTCGTTCGAGCATTAGCTGAATGCGCGAGGCACGACCTTACGCTAATTTTGTTAAAGTATTAGCTACATACGTTGGGCACTACCTTACGCTTTTAAGCATTAGATGCATTCGTGGGGTAAGACCTTAGCTAAGTTGAAAAAGACTCGCGGGGCATGACTTTACGCTAAGTTGAAAAAGATTTAGCTGCATGCGCAGGGCACGACCTTACACTAATTTTGTTTAAGCATTAACTACATGCATAGGGCACGACCTTACGCTAAGTTGAAAAGGACAAGACTTAACTGCATGCGCGGGGCACGACCTTATGCTAAGTTGATTAAGACTTAGCTGTATTCATGGGGCACAATCTTATGCTAAGTTGATTTATACAGAGAGGCAGTAATGTAAAAGGAAAATCCATATATTATTAAAATGGCTCAAGGGATATAATACCCGAGCTTATTGGAGTATGAACTGTTGGGGCATTAAAGCCCGAAAAGTAAAAATGAAATAAAGCGAACGTAATGTGAGCAAGTAAGCCTTAAAAGGAAAAACTATAGCTATAGCTGGTTACTTGTAATAAATTTTTAGATTGTCAGCGTTCCATGGCCTTGGGAGCGGCTTCCTCGATGTGTCTCTGACGCTATAAGGTCCACCTTTTAGTTTTCTTATGACCTCGAAGGGTCTTTCCCATGTTGGTTTGAGCTTCCCTGGTTGGTGTCTGGCAGCTTTTGCTTTTCTAAGGAGAAGATTGCCAGCTCTGAACCTTCTCGTCTGGACCTTGTTGTTGAAGTACTTTGCCATTCTGTTATGATAATTTGTAGGTCTAAGTAAGGCTTGCTCTCTTACCTCTTCAAGCAAGTCAAGGTGCTCAGTAGTTTGTCTCTCCCTATTCATCTCAAGCTTCCTTATTGTGGGGAGGCTGACCTCGATTGGGATGGTAGCCTCAAGTCCAAAGGCAAGCTGAAAAGCATCTCACCAGTTGTTGTCTTGTGTGAAGTCCTGTATGCCCATAGTATAGAAGGTAGTTCATTAGGCCAATCATCTTTGGAATCCCCTATTCTTGTTCAAAGGTCCTGCAGTAAGCAAGCCCATTACTTTGTGGGTGTGATATCGAGGTCAAGCGATGATCAATCCCATGGTTGGCACAAAAGCTCCTAAACTGTGGATTGTCGAATTGCCTTCCGTTATCTATGATGAGGACTTTTGATATTCCAAACCTGCATATGACAGACTTCCATCTGAATGACCTAAGCTTCGACTCCGAAATTTTTGCTAGTGGTTCAGCCTCTACCCACTTTGTGAAATACTCCACTGCCATAGCTACAAATTTTAATTGTCCTCAGGCCAAGGGAAATGGCCTAAGAATGTCGACTCCCTATTGTTCGAAGGGAGCTAAGTAATGAATAGAAGTTAGCTCCTCAGCAGGAGCATGTATGATGTTGCCAAACTTCTGGCACTTGTCACATTTACGAACATAATCTATAGCATCTTTCTTCAAACTTGGCCAGTAGTACCCATACCTTATCAACTTATATGCAAGAGCTCGAGCTCCTTGGTGATTTCCACAAATACCTTCATGAACTTCAGTCAAGGCTTGAAGAGACTCGGAAGGTTTGAGACATCTTAGATAAGGGAACGTCAAACTTCTGCGGAACAGAAGTCCTTCGATTAGACAATATCTAGCAGCTCTATACCGAATACTCCTAGCAAGCTGAGGGTCTGGGTAGGTTGCTTTTACTTAAGTAATCAACTATTGGATCCATCCAGGAGGGATCATGATCGATGTCCATAATGCTTGGCTTTTGAGCTATGCTGGGTTCTGCAACCATCTTGATGTGCATGATTTTATCAAGCTCGTCCACACCTATGAAGATGAGTCTGGATAATGCATCAGCTTTGGAGTTATTGGCTCTGGCTACCTACAAGATTTCACAACTTACAAACTGCCTCTGAAAGTCATGTACTTTCAGACAGTATAAGCTCATCTTTCTTTCGAAAGACCCCTCAATTTGCCCAACCACTAGATGTAAGTCACTGAAAACTTTGACATGCTCCAACTCAAGATTTTTCGCAAGTTCCAGGGCTATGATAACGGCTTCATACTCTGCTTCATTATCAGTGGCCTCGAATTCAAATCTGAGTGCACATTATATCTCCGTAGTCTTGTCTGAACTTGTGATGATAATGTTGGCCCCCAAGCCCGAGCTATTGGATGCTCCATCAACAAAGATCTCCCATATTTTCAAGGTTGTGCTCTGGTCTTTAGCCTGTGTTTCTGAGGACCTTGGAGTGAGCTCTGCTATGAAGTCAACCAAAGCTTGAGCCTTGATTGCAGGTCATGGCTTGAACTCTATGTCAAATTCGCCAAGTTCAATTGCCCATTTCAACAATCTTCCTGAGAAGATGAGTCTGGATAATGCATCAGCTTTGGAGTTATTGGCTCTGGCTACCTACAAGATTTCACAACTTACAAACTGCCTCTGAAAGTCATGTACTTTCAGACAGTATAAGCTCATCTTTCTTTCGAAAGACCCCTCAATTTGCCCGACCACTAGATGTAAGTCACTGAAAACTTTGACACGCTCCAACTCAAGATTTTTCGCAAGTTCTAGGGCTATGATAACGGCTTCATACTCTGCTTCATTATCAGTGGCCTCGAATTCATATCTGAGTGCACATTATATCTCCATAGTCTTATCTGAACTTGTGATGATAATGTTGGCCCCCAAGCCCGAGCTATTGGATGCTCCATCAACAAAGATCTCCCATATTTTCAAGGTTGTGCTCTGGTCTTTAGCCTGTGTTTCTGAGGACCTTGGAGTGAGCTCTGCTATGAAGTCAACCAAAGCTTGAGCCTTGATTGCAGGTCATGGCTTGAACTCTATGTCAAATTCGCCAAGTTCAATTGCCCATTTCAACAATCTTCCTGAGACGTCCAGCTTCTGGAGTATGTGTCTAAGAGGTTGGTTAGTGAGCACAACAATTGAATGTGACTGAAAGTACGGCTGTAATTTTCTGGCAGCTATTATCAAAGTGAGGGCGAGCTGTTCTGCAAGTGTGTATCATGTCTATGCATCAAGGAGTACTTTACTTACATAATAGACAGGCCGCTGAACTCTTCCTTTCTCCTTTACCGAGACCTCGCTTACTGCATTATGAGAAACGACCAAGTATAATAGCAACGTGTCATCGGGTTCGGGTTTGGTAAGGACTGGAGGTATTGATAATGTCTGCTTGAGCTCCTGAAAAGTTAAGTTGCATTCCTCGTTCCAGTCAAAGCTTTTATTTCCCTTAAGTAGTTTGAAAAAGGGAAAACACCTGTCCGCTGCCCGAGAAACAAACTTGTTCAGTGCCGCTACGCGATCTGTCAACTTCTAAATGTCCCTTTTGCACTTAGGGGCCTCCATACTCATCAAAGCTTGGATTTTATCAGGGTTTACCTCTATTCCTCTATGCATGATCATAAAATCCAAAAACTTCCCAGATGCTACCCCAAATTCACACTTTGTAGGGTTGAGCTTCATGTTGTACTTTCGCAATGTAACAAACATTTTCTCAAGATCCGAGACATGACCATTCACCTATTTGCTCTTAACCACCATATCATCCACATATGCTTCGACCGTTTTCCCAATTAATTCAGCAAAGATCTTGTTTACCAACCTTTGATACGTTGCTCCAGCATTCTTCAGTCCAAAGGGCATGACCCTATAACAAGAGATGACTGAGTCTGCCATGAATGAGGTCTTCTTCCGCCATGAGTATTTGGTGGTACCCCGAAAAGGCATCCAAGAATCTGTACAGCATATGACCTGACGTGCTGTCCACAAGATTGTCAATTTGAGATAGAGGATAACTGTCTTTGAGGCATGCTTTATTCAGATCCATGAAGTCAATGCAGAATCACCACTTCCCGTTAGCCTTTTTGACAAGAATTACATTGGCAAACCAGTCAGGATACTGTACTTCCTGAATAAACTGTCCCTTAGCAAGCTTAGCGATCTCTTCCTTTATGACATCTTGTCTTTCCGGTGCAAATTGCCTTTTCCTTTGCTTTACAGGTCTTGCCTTCGGTTGTACATTCAGTCTGTACACCGCAACCTCTGGGTCAATTCCAGGCATGTCCTCAACATTCCAAGTGAATACATCAATGTTGCGGGAGAGACAATTCAGTAGTTCAGACACGACTACTATATCTAGCCCCCAATCAATTGTCACTTTCCTGCCAGGCTGAGCTCGACCTTTTCCAATCCTTCCACTGGAGCCAGTCTCCAGTGATTTTCGTGCTCGAGGTCTAGTCACATAACATTGTCGTGCCACTATTTGGCTGCCTTGAACTACCCAGATTTCATTACTTATAAAAAACTTCATAGCCAGGTGGAAAGTTGAGAAAATAGCTTGAATTCTGTTGAGCAATGGTCTTCCCAATATGGTGTTGTAGGCCATTGGAGTACGAACAACTTCAAAAGTGCTGATCTGCGTCACCTATTTACCTTCTTTTCCCAATGTTAAAGGTAACCCGACAATACCTTCTGGGGTGATGACCCCACCTCCAAACCCTTGGAGAGGCATTTTGATTGGCTTGAGCTGTTCCGATGAGATCCCCATTTGAACAAAGGTTTCATGAGATAGTACATTAGCCGCACTTCCATTGTCTACCAGAATTCTCTTAACTTCAAAGTTGGCGATGATGACCGATATGACCAGAGCATCATTGTGAGGGAATGCTATGCCTTCCAAGTCCCTCGTTCCAAAAAATGATGTCCTCTGTAGATCCGATATTTGATTTCGAGATGATTGGAGGCTGCCTGGCATATTGTTTACGCCCGCTACTTGAATCCCCCCCAAGGCTATTCCTTCGACAATGATATTGATAATACCTACAGTTGGCTGCTTGTTTCCCCAACCCTCTGGGCACTTGTCTCTGTTCTGATTATTCCTTGGGTGCTTGTCATTGCTAACATAAGAGCCCAAAAATCCCCATTCTAGAAGAGCTTCAATCTTCCTCTTCAAGGCGAAACAATCTTCCATTGTATGTCCATGATTTCTATGGAAATCACAATACTTGCTCTTGTCACGAGTATCGGGTGGAGACCGCAATTTGGGAGGCCACTTCAGTTCCTTCGAATCTTTGATTTCCATCAGAATGTTGGATCTCAAGTTGTTCAAATGGGTAAAGGAGGTTGAAGAGGGGTCCTGCCTTGGCTTGACCGGAGGTACATCTTGCCTCAGACTGGACTCATGCGGCCTTTTCTGATCAGACTTTCTTGATGAGGAAACTTCTCTTTTTGGGGCCATGGTTTATTCCATATTGATGTATTTCTCAGCTCGTGTGAGTAGCTCGGTTACTAACTTCAGTGGGGTCTTAGACAATGACATCTTGAATGCTTCACACTTAATGGCATATGTCAAAGCTGAGATTGCAGCAGTGATATGTAGATTGGGGATCTGAAGCCTTTCTTTATTGAACCTAGTCATGAAACTGCGCAATGTCTCGTTGGGTCCTTGAGACATCCGCATGAGTGATGTGGCTGTCTTTCTGAGTCACTTGCTACTTGCAAAGAAAGAGGAGAACTTATCGGCCAAATCTGAGAAGGAGGCGATAGAGTTGGGGTCCAATGTGGAAAACCAATCTCTAGCTGCATTCGTGAGGGTCTGAGGGAAGGCCTTGCATATTACTGCATCTGGTGCAACCTGTAAGTTCTTGATATCCGTATACACATTGAGATGGTTGATGGGGTCAGTTGTCCCATCGTACTCCTTTATCCGAGGATACTTGAACCTGTCGAGGAGAGGAAGCGAGAGAACTTCTGGAGTGAATGGCGTATTGGGAGTAAACCCTGTTGCTGCCCGAGTATTTTGTTGCATACCCGCTGCTATCCCTTCTTGAATGATTTGAGCAAGTTTAGTGGAGTCCATTGTAATGGACCTTGAACCTGAAGCCACTTGCGGTGCACCTGAAGTTCCAACCCCGCTGTCATCATGAGCTGTACGTTGGACTCGAGCCCGGGCGTCTGCCATAAAACCACCTTCAGGGGTTGAAGTATGCGATGGGTGCGAATTTCTCTGGCTTAACAATTGGGTTAATGCAGTAACCTACTGACGAAGTTCCTCAAAAGCGTCGACAGTAACAACGGCTTGAGGAGGTGCTAGCGTCTCTAACGATTCTTATTGAGGGACATGGCGTTCCTCAGAAGAAGGAGGATTTTTCGGGACGGATGAGCTTGCTGGAGGAAAACTTGAATGTGTATTGACCATAGCTTTTGGCAGCGCTTTCTACAGACGGTGTCAATGATGCTACCAAAAAATAGTACCTAAAAGATCTCGAACTGAATGTTTGAATACCGAGCTAGAGGACTGAGAAAGAACACGAACAGAGCCTTCCGGAACTTGAAATAAAGGCAATGAGGTGTGTGCTCGTCGCCCCCTGATGCTTAAGTCAGAAAGGAAATTTAGTACGTGAGGCTATAAACTGAAAATAATGAAAAACGTACCTAAAGAATGAGCCCGAGTTATGTATTTATAGGTGCTGATGATAGAGTTCTAGAAGGACTTAATCATGTGAGATCCTTATCCTCGTAGGATAAGGAGTTAGGGTTTCATTCCAAGTGTTCAACCATTGTTTGAGTCGAAGAAGGAGTCCAATAGGGTAAGGATTGTGGTCTAAATATAATTTGCACTCTTCTAGGTTATTGGAAAGAGTGGGACAAGAGCATATGAGTTCGTCGAAAAGAGCATACCCCGACCTAAAAAGCCGACCTCACTTTTGATGGTTTTGGAGCAAGTTGAGGTCGGGCTAATACAGGTCGAGATCGTGGGTCGGTAGATATGGGAGCATCAATATTTAAACAAAAATTTTTATTATTTACACCATATTTTAATTACAAACAAGATCAATATTTGCCCATTTTTATTTTTAATGATGATTTATTTTCAAATATTTTTTAACCTGCATTGAAATGAGGAACAAAATTTTTTTGTCAATAATTTATATTTGTTATTTATTTCGATTATTTAAAAATACAAGAGACTAAAAATTCTTGTATGCCCTTGTAATAATTTTTTTGGATAGAAACATTCATCAAAGACAATATATGCAAAGTAAAAAAAATTCTGATAAAAAAATTTGGAATATAAACACGAAATGAAAAGATTTAGGACATTTTCTTCAATTCAGTTGTTGTTTAGTTAACAAAAATGATCGATTATTTGATCTCTTATCTTTAAAATTCATTTCAACTATATATTACATGAGATTCACAATTTTTATAAAATTTTCAATTATATATTTTATTAATTTCTATCAAAATTTACTAAAAATATGATTTTTAGATAAACTAGAAACGGGATTTAATAATACCAGATTTTATTAAAGATATAAAAAAAAAGTAAAACCTTATTTATAAACTATTTAATTTTATTTAATATTGCATAAGAAAACACGTAATCAATAATACAATACCTTCTAATTTTAAATAATATAATAAAATAATACTTCCCGGGACAATTACAAATGAAACAGTCAAAATTAATTATGATTCATTCAATCACACACTGTTCTTGATGGAGTCACTGTACCCAGATTGTTCATCCCAATACTTTGACCACAGCATCACGCCACCATACTTGTTCGATTTACTTATCACCGGAAGAATCTCCGACTTCAGAACCTCTGGCGGAATGAAACCACTTCCAGCGGCACGTGGCGCAGCCGGCAGACCCAAAAATATCTTCCCAGCATTAATTGACTTCGTCCAACGATCCCAAGAATTCTTCAAATTATCTGTATTCCCAGAAGTGTACTGGCATGGAGGATTATTATAGAATTGGATCCAGACGTAGTCAAACAACGTTGTATTAAGAGCAGCCCCCAAAAACCTGTCGGGAAATGGGCACTGGGGCGCTCTGGTTATGTACACTTCTCTGCCATTTTTACTGTATGATTTCAAATTTCTCACAAGAACATCCCAGTATTTTGTTGATCCGAGCTCGATATCAAAATCAATGCCGTCGAGAATGGCGTCGCCGAGTGGTCGAGAAGATGATTCTCCACTCAAGAAATTGTTCCATAAGTAAGTCGATACAATGTTTGCATCTTCTTCAGAAGCTATAGAGTAATTTCCAATGCCTCCGCCAATTGATAGCATAACCTTGATACCCTTGATTTGGCAAGCGCGTATGCCATTGCTGACAGCACGGCAAGTGTTTGATGAAGGGCTGCAATGACCTGCGAGATTGATTTCAGGGGTTTGGCCATTTTCGAATTTGTTGAGGAAGGCTATATTGACAAAGGAGAATTTGCTGGTGGCGCAGGTTTCAGCTAAGGTGTCCTCGTTGCCATTTTGGCCCCAGTAGACGGCGATTCCTCCACCGCCTTGGCTGTGGGAGGTTTCGAAAACAGATTGAAATAAGATGAAGAGGAATAGAGTTATGAAATTATATTTTCTTGCCATTTTTGGTTTTCAATGGCGTTTGCTATTGCGTTTTTATTTTTATAGAATTCTTCAAAGGAAATGGTATTCTTTGTTTCATATTTGAGTTTTGTTTATAACATGTTTGACTATTCTTGATAAATTTTATATCGACTCCATGAATCATTCTTCAATCTTAATCATTTCGCTCTGGTTGATTCCAAGATTTGTTAACAAATCTAAAATAATTAAGCTCGTAGTATCTAAGACATACTATTTTGTCATTCTATTCAGACTGTTATTCCCAATTTGATAGTTTGAGACGGTAAACAACAAATTCGAGGGATCGAATGTTGAATTACTGAGTTTATTAAAATATCTATTTGTGTGAGAACTCCTTACCCTTTTGGTTGAGAAAATCCGACGTACTTTAGTGGAGAGTACAATGTAATATGAATCTACGCACAAAAATGTTTCAGATATCGATAATAGTATACGATGAAAATTCGTAGAATAACAAATTCGATACTGATATAACCAAGTTTTGTTCCCGACGTGTATAGACCCGAGGACTCGATCTCGTCGATATGTGTATCACAATGCTCGGGACATATGTGCTCGGGTATCCCCATATGCCCGAACTATTGGCCGGAAGAGTTATTCAACAATCATTCCACAATGCTCGGGATTATATCCTTGGGATTCTGACCTACGACAGCGCCTTGTCCAACTAGAGATTTATTCTGACTAAACTCCTCAACTCATGTCTCCTATGCCCAGAAGAACTCTATTGGTATCACAGTTATACCTCAATTCAAACTCCTATCTCGCGTAGGACTCATTGGTGTTAGATTGCAAAATCAAGCTGTCCTACTACAGGTGCACTACAGAATCCTAGTATGAACACACCACCTACCTCTATAAATACATAACCTTGGGCCATTATTCAGGTACTTTTTTTCATTGTTCTTCAACACATAGCCTCACGCATATATTTCCCTTTCTGACTTAAGCATCGGAGGGGCGACGAGAACATACCTCGTTACCTTTGTTTCAGGTACCGGAAGACCACTATCGTGATCAACCCGAATCATCAAGCTCGGAAAATCAGCAGGTACGATTTTTGGTAGCATCATTGGCGCCGTCTGTGGGAAACACTACCAAAAGCCATGGTAAACACACGTTCAGGTCTTCCACCAGCAAGCTCATCCGCTCCAAACCAACCCCCTCCTGAGGATATCCCTATTCCTCAAGAGGAATCATCAGAAGTACCAGAGCCCCAGCCGGCAGTCGTCACTACTGGAGCCTTTGAAGAGCTCAGACAACAGGTCGCCACACTGACTCAGCTGCTAAGTCAAAGAAATTCGTATCCGTCATCCACGCCAACACCCCAGGGGGGTTTTATAGCTGATGCTCGAGCTCGAGTTCGAGCTCGAGCTCAAGTGCATGTCCCTGACAATGGCGGCGCAGGGGCCTCGGGTATACCACATGTGACCACGGCCTCGAGATCAGTGACCATGGAGTCCGGGGAACTCGCTAGGATTATTCAAGAAGGAATTACGGCGGGCCTACTTCAGGGCAACAAAGGGACGACAAGATTCAGCCCCAACACTCCCTTTACTCCCGAGATATTAACATTCCCCTTTCCAGACAGATTTAAGTATCCTAGGATCAAAGAATATTATGGGACCATCGATCCAATCAATCGTCTGAAGTGTGTACACAGACGTCATGAATCTACATGTCACACCAGATCAGGTGATGTGCAAGGCCTTCCCGCAAATTTTGACGAATGCTGCTAGGGATTGGTTCTCAACCTTAAAGCCCAACTCCATAGCCTCATTCTCGGATTTGGCGGACAAGTTCTCTGCTTTCTTCGCAAGCAGTAAACGCATCAGGAAGACAGCGGCTTCCCTCATGCAACTTAGACAAGGGCAAAATGAGACCCTACGTGACTTCATGACCAGGTTCAACAAGAAAAGACTTCAGATTCCCGACCTACACATAACTACAGCAGTTTCTGCCCTCACATATGCCATAAAGTGTGAGGCTTTCAAGATGTCTTTATCCAAAACTCTGCCAAGGACAGTAACCGAGCTTCTTGCCCGAGCCGAGAAGTACATATATATGGAGGAAACACTGAACCCGAGAAAGGTTGGACCACCCTATGACAGGGTCGAGCATAAACGACAGCACGACACGAACCCCCGTGAAGAACATTGGAAAAAACAGAGACAGGAGGTTCCCCCGACGTCATTCACGCGTTTAAATGCGTCAAAGACCAATATATTGATGGAGATCAAAGATATGAAGGAACTCAAATGGCCTGTCAGAATGAGGTCACCACCCGAATCCAGGGACATGAACAAGTACTGTGAGTTCCATCGGGATCATGGGCATACCATAGAGAACTGTAAGGCCCTACAACGAGAGATCGAAGCCCTTATTAAAAGAGGACTTTTAAGTTCCTACGTCGGTAACGACAAATGCCCGAGGAATGATCGTGGCAGGGAAAAAGCCCCTGAGACAAAAAGGGATGGTCAAGCCATTGCTGGAACCATCAATATCATCATTGGGGGTATTGCCTCCGGAGGAGACTCTAACAGTGGAAGAAAACAGTATGCCCGACAATATGCCTTAGCCTCTGGAATGCCTCATGGAAAGCTGGAGGATATTACTTTTGGGACCGGGGACTTAGAAGGTGTATCACTTCCACATGATGACGCCTTGGTAATCTCAGCGATTGTGGCCAATTTTGAAGTAAAGAGAATCTTGGTTGACAACGGGAGTGCGGCCAATATACTTTTACAAAAAGCTTTTACCAAAATGGGAATCTCATCTCAGCAGCTCAAAGCGGTTAAGACTCCTCTCTAGGGGTTTGGGGGAGGAGCCATCACTCCAGAGGGTGTCGTCGAGCTTCCACTAACTTTGGGTTCTAGCAAGAAACAGGTTACGGAGATGACATCTTTTCAAGTGGTACATGTCTCAATGGCCTATAACGCAATTCTGGGAAGACCACTCCTGAATAAGATTAAAGCCATTGTGTCCACCTTCCACCTAGCCATGAAGTTTTCAACAAGTAATGGCGTTGGGGTTGTCCGTGGAGACCAGACAACTGCCAGACAATGCTATGTTGCCAGCGTTCGGGAAATAAATAACGACGTCATGCAAATCTCGAAGATGGATCCCGAGGACGGGCAACAAGTCAGACTTGCTCCTATCAAAGAACTGATGGAAATTGAGCTCGAGCATGATAAGAGGGTGACGATTGGTCGGGATCTTGACGTCACCCTGAAGACAGAACTTGTCGATTGCTTATCTCACAACATTGACATTTTTGCCTGGATGGTTGAGGATATGTCAGGGATAGACCCTAAAATTGCAGTCCATAGGCTTAACATTAGCCTAGGGGCCAGGCCCGTAAAGTAGAGGAAAAGACAGTTTGCCCCAGAACGTCGGGAGGTCATCCGCGAAGAAATTAACAAACTCGTCAGTGCTCGGTTCATTCGGGAGGTCCAATATCCCGATTGGCTTGCCAATGTTGTTTTAGTGAAGAAGGCCAATGGTAAGTGGAGAGTCTGCATTGACTTCACAGATCTTAATAAAGCATGTCCAAAGGATAGTTATCCCATACCGCGGATTGACAACTTGGTGGATAGCACATCTGGACATAAGCTATACAGCTTCTTGGATGCATTTTCTGGTTATCATCAAATCCTCATGGCCGAGGATGATCAAGAAAAGACCTCATTCATGGCCGATTCCGCCATATACTGTTATAAGGTCATGCCTTTCGGTTTGAAGAATGCAGGTGCAACATACCAAAGGCTCATCAACAAAGTCTTTGCTAACTTGATTGGAAGAAATGTGGAGGCGTACGTTGATGACATGGTGGTCAAGAGCAAACAGGTGGACCAACATATTTCAGATCTTGAAGAAGTGTTCAACACCTTGCAAAAGTACGGAATGAAGTTGAACCCCGCAAAATGTGCATTTGGCGTGGCCTCGGGCAAGTTCTTGGGCTTCATGATCACTCACCGGGGGATAGAGGCCAACCCTGACAAAATACAAGTATTAGCATCTATGGAATCACCAAGGAACAAGAAAGAGGTACAGAGGTTGACTGGTAGGATAGCAGCCTTGAACAGGTTCATGTCCCGAGCATCAGACAGGTGCTATCCCTTCTTCAAAGTCCTCAGAGGAAACCAAAGCTTTGATTGTAGTAAAGACTGTGAGAAAGCTTTTCAGGAGCTCAAGCAGACATTAGCATCTCCTCCTATTCTAACGAAGCCTGAGCCTGGTGACACCTTATTTTTGTACCTGGCCATATCTCAAAATGCGGTCAGCGGGGTCTTGGTGAAAAAGGCTAACAAAGTCCAACAACCAATCTACTATGTAAGCAAGGTCCTACTAGATGCAGAAACAAGGTATACTTTGGTGGAACAACTTGCCCTTGCCTTGGTTGTAGCAGCACGGAAACTCCGGCAGTATTTTCAGTCTCACCCTATTGTGGTGCTCACTAATCAACCACTTAGGCATATACTTCAGAAGCCGGACGTATCGGGAAGACTGGTGAAGTGGGCAATCGAGCTTGGAGAATTTGACATCGAATTCAAACCACGCCCATCTATCAAAGCCCAAGCACTAGTCGACTTCATTGCAGAACTAACCCTTAGGCCTCGGGGGCCAGGTGACAGCTCGAGCATGAGCACTAATTTGGACACTTGGCAAATTTTTGTGGATGGAGCATCCAACTCTTCGGGCTCGGGCGCAGGGGTCATCATCATCGGCCCTGACAAACAAACAGAGATCCAATGCGCTCTCAGGTTCGAGTTTGAAGCAACCAACAACGAGGCTGAGTAAGAGACCGTCGTTATTGCTCTAGAGCTAGCCCTTTGCCTAGAGCTCGAGTTCGTAAAGATATTCAGCGATTCACAACTAGTGGTCGGACAGATTGAAGGATCATTTGAAAGGAAGGATGAGAAAATGAGTTTGTACTGTATGAAGGTTCAGGATCTTCAACGAAAATTCAAGAGCTGTGAAATTACAAAAATTGCTCGAAAGGACAACGAAAAAGCCGACGCATTATCCAGGCTTGTGTTCATGGGGGTAGTGACAGAACAGTTCACATTAAAATCATCACAGAACCCGGCATCAGTCAAATCCTCGACATCATGGACATTGACAACGGACCATCCTGGATGGACCCAATCATAGAATTCATCACAAGCAGAAATCTACCAAGCGATGCCAGGTTGGCTAAAAGCATCAGAGC